GCCTCACAGCATAGTGTCAGGATGCTTACAATCGTAAACACAGCGCCCGGGGCACTAAGGTGTGCCAGACCAAATCTAGGTACAAGGATCAGATTGCGAGCTGATGCGCTCGTGTGAGGAAGGTGTAGGAGGAGAATGAATGAGGAGGGCGTCGGAGGGAAGTAGGTGGAGAATGCGGGACATAATGGCATGCATGCCGGCCACGCTGGTGCGGTATAGCATATGCATATGAGTATTTGTAGTAGCGGTGCATGACGTGGTCGTCTGTTGTATTGTAGGGGAGGATAGCGTTGTGCAGGCCATGGACGAGTAGTGCGTCCTGCCATATTGTGGGCTAGGATTAGAATAGATGAGTGGGCAGGGGTAAGGTTGGGGGTGGTGGTAGTGGCTGAATTCCGTGGGACAGGGGGGTTCTGTGTGAATGCGGTAGGGTGCATGTAAGAGGTAAGATTGTATTAGGGGGAGTGAGGGAGAGGAGCAGGGAAAGAATACTTTTTCCGTGTGACACGTTGGAGAGGTTGTTTGCGCCGATTTGTCTTATCCCAGTAGGGAAGGGTTGGTGCTTCGTCGTTGTGGGGTTCAGGAAGATGGTGGGTTCGCGGAGTTGTTTTTTTGTTTGTCTTGACGTGTAGTGATGTGGGTCTCACTTCGTCGTCTAGCGAGGAGGATTGGCTATGGTGGCGTTGGGGTGTGTCGTTTCTGGTTCGTTCGCCTCGTGCGTGTGTTTGCTTCCTCGTGTGTCAGTAGTGTCGTTTCGGGGTGGTGTTTTTAGCTGGCGGCATTTTGGCCGTCGTTTGTTTTGCTAAAATGTTTTCTTGCGGGAGGTTTTTTTTTGTGTGTATGTTTTGTCCACTTTTTCGTTTTCTTTTTTGAGATCGTTCCGTAGTCCCATAACTAATATGAGAGAGTTGTTGTTCTATAGTATTTAGAAGTTGATATGTTTGTGCCGTATATGTGTGTCGTTTGTACTTCCGAGGTTCGGATTTCCTTTCAGTAGGTTATCTGGGGGTATGGGGGGTATGTTATAGTTATAGGAACATTTATTTATTATTATTTTAAAAATATATATTTTGTTTTATCTTAAATTTTTGATTGTCTTTCTTTTAAATTTATTCATTTTTTATTTTTTATTTTTTATTTTTTATTTTTTATTTTTTCAATTTTTTAATTTTTTAATTTTTAATTTTTATTTTTGATTCTTTATTCTTTATTTTTTTATTTATTTATTTATTTTTATTTTATTATTCTATTGTTATTATTTATTTTGCTATTATTTTATTTTATTATTATTATTTTTAATTATATTATTTATTTTATTATTATTTTATTTATTATGTTTTATATTTTATATTTTATATTTTATATTTTATATTTTATTTTATATTATTATTCTTGGGGGGATGCAGGAGAGAGAGGGGGGAGGAAGGAAACAGGGAGTAGAGAGAGCCAGAGAGAGAGAGAGAGAGAGAGAGAGAGAGAGAGAGAGAGAGAGAGAGAGAGAGAGAGAGAG